CTCGCTTCTTCTTCTGTGGTTTCCTGAGCGTGTGTCTGTTTCCGCCTCTTCTTCTTCTGCGGTTTGGGCCCACTTCTCGCGGGGTCTCAGCTGGTGCGAGCGCCGCCTGTGGTTGGGGCGTGGGGCTGGTGCTTTGAGGCAGAGGACAGAGCGCGGAGGAAAAGCGCCGACAGACCTGGACAGGGAGAGAAAAAAGGGACAACAGTAGTCTGCTCATTTTTTTTGAAAACCCAACGCCTTGTTTGGGTGCACACTTCTTGTTAGTAGGGGAAAAAGGGCGGTAGGGTGGGGGTGTGTGTGTGTGTGTGTGTGTGTGTGTGTGTGTGTGTGCGCCTGTGTGTTCTCCGCTTCGGTGAAGAGCGGAGGAGCTATTGTTTTTACATATTTCTTTCTCTAACCTCTTTTGCCGTGATATTCTTAAAACCAAGTATATTTTTTTTTTTCTTCCCTTCTTCTTCTAAATTATCACGCAGATGACCTGCACCATAGGCAAACACTTCACAGCTTGCATCTGTAGATTGATTTTACCCATTTTCTCGTACGAACAATGGGCCTAACCCGCTTAGTCTCTCCCTGCTCCTACCCACTTTGGGGCGCTCCGTTCCCCCCCCCCGCTGGTTCAACCAGCGAGCGCGCGTTCTTGAAAACGGAGCGGTTCTGGCTGAAGACACTCAGAGATTCCAGGGTCGCTTACAATGCGATACTAACGCGCAGCCGCTAGTTTCAATCTAGAACAAAAAGCCCCCCAAAAAATCCCGCACACAGACTATGCTGTGGCAATGAATGAAATACCCCAAAAATACATAAATAAACAAATCCCCGTGTACACTTAAGTGCTGCCCTGGGCTCGTTACGCAGATGAAAAGACAAGACTCACCAGATTAGGTTCTTTTTGGTCTTGTGTGGCAAAAGGATTCCTTCCGTGCGCGGGACGAGCGCGCCCTCCTTTGTCTCCAAAAAGGAACAGAGGCTGGTGATCCAGGTCGGCCAAACAAAGCCGCTCGTCCCCGCCGAAAGTATCCATGCCAAGACATGTCAGCAACGCCAAATTGTTAAGGAAGTTTCTACCCAATGAAGGAGGAAACTCAAAGGTCCTTTGTCTGGTCAAAAGCGTAAGTTTATTGTTCACGCACGTGCGGAGAGCCAGCACATCCACTCCAAGGCAGCATGTCCCAGCTCTGGGGGCCAGAGCCCCGAGCTTCCTGTATACAAGACACACACGAAAGCCAGTCCCGCCCACAACAGATGGGAGGGGGGCCACCGGTGCAGGATGTAGAGAGTGCACACATACAGACCGATACATATGCAAGAGGTGAAAGGGGGCAAGAGTGATAGCCATTGTCTGTAGGTGTCGGGGGGGCCCGGCTCCTTCCTGGCAGCAGGGACATATGGATATAAGCAGGCATACAGATTCAAGATACGAAAGACACAAGGGTGTGACAGACAGCAGGGGGCCCTCACAAAGCTCAGCATGGCGTCAGAAGGGCGTCTCTGCATTGATAAAAGGCCTTTGACGTCCGTGTATTTGCTGCGGCTGGTTTTATGTAATTACTCCAAAAACTGTCACCACACTACGCTGGCTGAACTTGAGAAGAGGTTTTCTGGTGTTAGTCAGATGTTGCTTCAAGGTGTTCAAGGATGTAGTTTTTTGTCTGAGCATGATTTGTCAACACTGGCCCAACATTATCACATTGATCTGAGGACAGAAGATGTGATAGTCGCTAAAAATTACCTTAAGCCCAAGAGTGAGGCAATGCTAATGCAAGAGAAAGTGGGGTTGACGCGCACATCCAATACTGAGCAGCGTGCAAAAAAAGTCGATAATAGAAAACATGAAAAGAAAAGGAGATGACTCTGCACAGCTTTTAGCTCCCAAGAGTTTTTAATGTTATCACCACAAGATGTGACGTTTCGGGTCACTACCCTTCATCAGACATCACTGCAATGCTAATGCAAGACATGCTCTCAGTGTACAACCTCTTGGAAAATGAGGTGTTTCCATCCCTCCATTCCATTCCATTCCATCTTCTTCCGCCTCATCCGTTGCCGGGTCGCGGGGGCAGCAGTCTAAGCAGAGACGCCCAGACTTCCCTATCCACACACACTTCCTCTAGAGCCAGATGTTGGGTGTGTGGACTGGGTCGCCGAGGTCTCCGCCTTCGACTGCTGCCCAGTCCTCTCTGCACCGCGTGTTTCCATCCCTAAAAACCGTTTTACAGGTTGCATTCCTGTCAGCAGCTGTAGCTCTTAGTTGACAACGACCTCTGGTCAAAGTAGGACTCACAACCTGCAGTTATCTCAGTTGAAAAGGAAGTTCTTGACAAAATGGACAGATTTGCACGACTCAGAGTGAGGCGCCACAGATTAACTCTTTAAGAATCAGGCCGTGTTAATTGCAGTATGCTGCATTTCAGAATTTATTGTAAGAGCATGTCATTTTTGTAACTAATTTTGCAGTTTGTTGTACGTTGTACTCATGAGTCTGTTCTAATTATGTTTTATTGTGCTTGTATTACAAAAAATTCCCTCCCACCCCAAGGTGCTAAGCACCCCTGAAGCTGAAAGTCTAAAATTGCCCCTGGATCCTTCTATTACAAAAGTGTCCTAACCTGTTACAGAAAAGCCACAAGCTAAAATCAGAACAAGCAGAGAACAGTTCAAATGTCATATCAGTGAATCTAGCACTGATAAGCCGGAGCCAACGGTAGATCAAGGGCTAAAATGGTCATGAGGAATAGACAGTGTTTGGGGAAGAATGTACGTAACATTTAGCTTAAGGGGCCATTAAAGAAAAAAGGCTTCCAGGGTCGGAATTTTAAGTCTGGTCTAAAAAAACGGCAACAAAAAATCAAGTGGGCAGGTACAGTATGTGTATGGGACAAAACTAGAAAGATAACAGCCTGAATTCAAATAGTCCTCAATCTTGAAAAGAACAAATGGTTTTGGGAGATAAAACTGATCAAAATGATTTGGTAAGTTAACTTAAAGAAGCTATACCCAATTTTTTTCCTAAGTAGTTCATAAAAATTCTTTGCGGGACGTTTGTTCTCCTCCACTCACAGAACGAGCAGCGAACAGCCTGCGTCCTCTAGCCTCTACAGCGCTGCTTAACACCAGGGCTTCGACTTCAAAATTTTAATATAATTCTAAAATAAATAAAAAAATATATTTTCGAACAAATATTAGACAGCCCTTATAATTCGAAATGTATTTAATGACTGCAAATAAAATAGTTAGCTCCCAAAGGTTTCACCGCGATGTGCTAGCTAGCTTAGTTTTTTAACTAGCTAGCTTAGTTTTTTAACTAAGCTAGCTAGTTCAAAAACTCTAGAACTACATGAAAACTGAACAAAGAATTCTGAACATCAGCGGAGAGTTACCCATTTATATACCGAACCTAAATCCATCAGATCCTCTTCAAATGTGTCCTAAAATGTTCGTTTCATGTTAATGGTTACTTCCGGGTTTTTCACAATCGCTTTCTGTCACATTAAAATAGTAATTTTGTCATGAAAACGTTAACACCAAATTCTGAAAACGTCCGTCCATGTGTGTTAAGGGTGTATGTATACTGTACTGTCTGATTAACGTTTAATGGCGTGGATTGATTTATATGTATTTGTTTATTGAGCGTTGCTAACTCGGCTTGCTCCGCTAGCTTCTCTGCACAGACAACTGTGTGCAGAGAAGCTGCACAGTTTAGTGACAGGCGCTGAAGGCTTGTTGTAATAATGTTAGTGTTTTACACACCTGAATTACAAACAGAGATTGCGTTGTCAAAGGGCAGCGGCCATTATTGATTTGAGAGTTCTGTTTTCAAGAAAAATGATCGGTAGAATTACATTCAAGTCAATGCAGTGTTCTACTGCATTGACTCGGCACGGTGGCTGAGTGGATAGCACTCTCGCCTCTCAGCAAGAAGGTCCTGGGTTCGAAACCCGGTTGGACCAGGGCCTTTCTGAGTGGAGTTTGCATGTTCTCCCCGTGTCTGCGTAGGTTTCCTCCGGGTGCTCCGGTTTCCCCTACCACTAAAAATATGTACAATAGGTCTGGCATGTGCCTCCTGTACTGGCGACCCCCACTCCCAAAAATAACAATTGTAAACCGCTTTGAGACTCCGATGTGCAGTGAAAAGGCGGTTTATAAATGAAGATTACTAAAGATTACTACTACTACTACTGCTGCTGTGAGGAGCTGTATAATAAATTATAATTAAATATTCTAATATATTCTAATGTTAAATGAATACATTTGGATGTGAAACTAGCAGTATTCTTTTACCTATATATTGTGTTAGCAGTGCGTTACTTTAGTACCATTTCATCTGTGATTGTTGTACAGCTTACAAGAAGTTGTGCTAATGCTAATGTTAGCATACATGTCAGATTGCAAACTGAGCTAGATGGCTCTGTGTTATGAGAGCGTAGGGGAAATGAGAAGCCATTGAGCGAGATGGGGGGCGGTGCTAAACATTCAAACCTTGCAGAAACGGGTATAGCGCCTTTAAAGGAAATCTTTTTTGAGCTTTTAACCATGTAACAACAGTGATGATGTTCCCCTCATAAACCAACCCAGAGCTGTTTTTAGCTACATCCATACAGCTGATTCAACTTAATGTAACTCCTTCTGTATGATGTCATTGTATCACTATGACATCACGCTCAAAGCTGTTTTATTTATTTTAAAACAAAGCAAAAATAGTTTGGGCAATTTCTAGGGTGAAATTACAGCTGTGTTTTCAGCCGGTAATTTTCAAATTTGGGGAAAAAAAATCTACAGCTCCCTCTGGTGGTAGCATATGGATAGGGCAAGCCAATAGCATCTTTCACCCTCAATACTTTTTTTGCCATACATTTTCAACTTGAGATTTATGACAAAGTAAGAAGTATTATTCATTTTAATGGAAACAATAATGTGTCATATTTGTTCTTTCAAAAGTACTTCTAACCAATGAGTCGGAGATGTATTCATTTTTTTTTTGGATTTACATTTTTGTTTAGGGCAGAACGCCACTCTGGTGGTGGTGTTGTTTGGGAGTGACAGCGCCACTTTGAAAGAAGCATATGTTGTTTATTCCTCGGGGGCTGGAGAATTGAAAGGCAACATCACGGGACACGAAGACAACGAATATTTAGTACACTTTGACAACTTACCATCCGAGGAGATCTCGGTGTGGGTCAAACTGCAGGACGGCTCCAGTTTGACCAAAACAACTTTGGAGAATTTCCAACGACAGGCACTTACTAGCATCCAACCCTCGTCCTTCTCCATCGCCAGTGTAAGTCATACTCATGTTACACTTCCTACTATTCAAAATGAGAATTGAAAGCTGACGGAAAAGGCTGCACGGGAAACAATAGAATTAGAACAATGTCATTGCGAGTAAACCGGGTTACATAGCAGAATATAGATCTAGTGTAGTTATTTGTTCATTTATTTTTCATTAATATTTTTATTTTATTTTATTTGTTTACCTATCCCTTGATGGGACCACAGGCTACTAGTCTGTTGGGTATAAGAGTGTGAGCCTACTGACCCAACAGAAGCCGACAAAAAAAAAACGAAAAAGAGAGAGAGAGAATGTCATTGCAATGTGATCTTGTCAAATTCAAAGCACTTTAAAGTATTTGTAATTTCATTTTTTGTTTATGTGCCATTTGGAGTTAATAACCACACTAGAATATTAGTGCAAACATACAAAGTGCACAACGCGATATGACAGACAGAGACTAACAAACTAAAGATTGTATTTATTGGTTGGCGAGTATTGGAGCTAAGGAGAAGGGTTAATCCTGCTGACGAGGCAGTGATGAGGGAGGAGGAGAGTTGCTGCACAAATCAAAGCTTTCTGCACTACAGTGTATGAAAGCTGAATGCAGGGCCGTGCTTAAAATCTGCGAGGTGAGATCTGGCAGCGTGAGTGTTCCTTGCGATACAGGACGGTCCAACGAAGGACAAATGATCGAACTGTTTGATTCTCTGATCTATGTTGGTGAAGCGACAACTTTGTGATTTAGGGCAATACAAAAATTAGTTGAATTGAATCGAGCTTGTCATGTGGTGAAGTGAAGGACTCAAAAAATCATTATTATCGAAATGAAAAAATCAAAATGAAACACGGGAACCAGAAACATGGACATAGACAAACAAAGACATTGACAATGAACAAGCAACACGGGGAGCACAGGTACATATAGACACAGACACAGGTGAAACAGATGAGGGCGGGGCAGACAACAGGTAAACAGGAAACGAAGTCAAACTAAACCACAGGGAAAATAAGTCTAAACAAATGAGTAAATAACACAGAACACACACCATGACAGAGATTGTGCACCCATAGTTTCTCTGGTCTTCCAGTCTGAACCTCTGCTTTAGCTTCATAAAAACAAAAAACATTGTGGAAGAAAATTCAAATTCAAACCTTGATAACTAACAGGATTTAGAGATTTGCCATTTTCCACGACTCATTTCAAACCCTGCAGTAAAGTGACATTGAAAGATACTAGATACTGTAGATACATTATTGATCCCTGAAGGAGAAATTCAGATGTCCAGCAGCAGAAGACCATCAATAAATAACAATTCAAATATGTCTACTATTTTTTTCCTTTTACAGAGTATTCCGAGCGCTTCGTTAGAACCAGGCTCAACCTTCTTCACAAATTTGACGATATCAACTGAAGGCACGGAGGGAAACTTCACCATCCAAGTATCAAATAACCAAAATCTTCCCAGTACCATTTTCCCGGCTATAGTTAACGTGATGAGAGGCAGAAGCGCAATCGCAGCTCCTGAAATATTCATTCCTAATACCACGGCGTCTGGGACAGAAATCATTGTGGTGGTGGAGGTTGGTGATGCCAAGGACTTCAACTATAAGAGGTTAACATTGACCGCCATCACACCGGTAACTAACACCACGCTATTTCTCATCAATTTGGTTTCTCAGTTTGAAAATGTTGTATATTCAATTCTTGGTTAACAAAAAAACGTATACAATTTTACATGATTCATTTCCTCAAGGCAATGGGAGCATGGCATGGAGAAGAACCATTAACTGTGTATAGATACAATGCTAGCGCTAATAAAGCCCAAAAGGGAAGTGCTTGTGGACAAGGTTTACTATTTACTTACAATCAAAACTCCTCTAGTGCAGTTATTGTTTATGTCTTAAATTTTGGGCTTAAAAGGCGCTCTCTATGATCCTGGGTTTTTTTGTTCTGATATTGACTTTGTAAATCCAGATATGAGCCATGTAAGGGTTGACCAGTCAGATGGCTTCATTCGCCGGGGAAACTCCAGCTTCCCTTAGCGACCATCTTAGCAACTCCCCGTCCCGGTCGTACCTGCGTAGGTTTCCTCCGGGTACTCTGGTTTCCCCTACCACTAAAAACATATACAATAGGTCTGGCATGCGCCTCCTGTACTGGCCCCGCTCCCATCTCTGTGTGGAGTGAGAGACAATTGCCCAAAAATAACAATTGTAAACCGCTTTGTGACTCTGGTCTGTGAAAGGCGGTATATAAATAAATAGTACTTACTTACTTACTACTATATACAGTCTCTGATCTGTGAAGATTTGTTTCTCTTTTTAGCATAAGTTACAAAACGGGAGAGTGTTGTTGAATTCTGGCCTTCTGGAAATGAACTGGAGACAAACATGAGACACAATAATCTCGAGATCATATCTTTAAGGTCATGTGAGCCTTCCTATAAATCTTGTTTGGACTGGTTTAATATCGCAGGTTGCGGGTTTTGAAATGAAGTCCATTGCCTCATTGAAACGTTCTGTAATCTCGCACTCTACCTGAAAAACTGGACATAAACCACCAGGCCAATCATGCTTTTCCATTGCATCCTTGGCTCTTTTTACAACAGTTTTAAACAATATTATATACTTTCAATTTCTCTAAAACAAGTCAGTGTGTATGAGGGGAATATGGATACAAACTGTTAAAAGTCAATTTTGCTGGTTGTTGTCCCTTATATAGTGCCCATATCTGCATTTGAAAGCCAGATCCTGTCAGAGCTCTGAAGCTAAGCAGGGCAGTGCCTGGTTAGCACTGTGATGGGAGACTTCTGGGAATACCAGGTGCCACAATGGGGCGGCTGTAAAGTGCCAAAATATTGTTGTGTACTCAGGCAAGACACTTCACCCACATTGCCCAGAATGAGTCTGAATGGTTGGTAGTGGTCAGAGGGATCGATGGCACAGACTGGTTGCCTCACTTCTGTCAGTGTGCCCCAGGGCAGCTTTGGCTATAGAAGTAGTTTAACACCACCATGTTTGGAGTCAATGAACAATGACATGTGAGGCGTCTTTGAGTGTCCTGAAAAGCGCTGTATAAAACCGATGCATTATTATAATATTGTACAATTTCTCTTAGGTGACCGATATCCACGCTCCGGTTTTTTCTCTGCTATCTCCTGATCCGAACTGCACAGACACTTGCACCTCCACCTATCAGCTCTCAATTCTTGTGACCAACAACACAGTTTTGAACCGGATTTTTGTCCGAGAGGGCAATGGAATCCTGACGTTCACCAGCACTAAAAATGTTTTGTCTTACAACGATTCCTGCTGCTCCCCCACGGTGGAAATAGTGGCTGTTGATGACGCGGGAAATGTCGGGAGATTCCGGTTTAATGTTTCAGAGGCGAGAATCGTGGCTCCAACAACATCTGCTACTACTATTACTAATACTACTGTTACTGCTACTGCTACTACTGCTACTGCTACTAATACTACTGCTACTACTGCTGCTTCTTCTACTAATACTACTGCTACTGCTGCTGCTACTGCTTTTAATACTACTGCTACTAATTCAACTGCTTCTAATACTACTGTTACTGCTACTGCCACTACTACTGCTGCTACTGCTACTGCATTAGTAGCAGTTGTAATAACTAATGCTACTAATACTACTGCCACTACTGCTATCGTTACTGGCGCTGCTACTACTGCTATCGTTACTGCCGCTGCTACTACTGCTGCTATCGTTACTGCCGCTGCTACTAACACAACTGCGTCTACTAATACCACTGCTACTGCTGCTATCATTACTGCTACGGCTACTACTGCTGCTGCTGTTATTGCTCCTACTACTGCCACTACTGCTATCGTTACTGCCGCTGCTACTAACACAACTGCGTCTACTAATACCACTGCTGTCGGCTACTACTGCTGCTGCTCTGCTGTTATTGCTCCTACTACTGCTATCGTTACTGCCGCTGCTACTACTGCTGCCTGTACACCTAATGGCAGTTTAAATACTACACAACTGACAAAGTCTACAGTTTATCTCATGTTATTATTTTATTATTTTCTTAAATAATCCTTTTTGATATGTTCGCTCTTATTTCTCTGTTCTGCTGTAATTTGCATGACACTATGACATTCCCTGAGGGATGGTAGATTTACAGTATGTTAACTTAAATGTATTCTTACTTTTGCTTACGCCTAATATTCAGAATTATTCCACCAATTTTGTATTGTATTCACTCAATTACAGCTGTTGATTATTGCATTTGAATAAATATCAATATTTTTGAAGTCATTGCACTGTCATTGCATTAGAGTCGCCCTGGCAAACATCAAGTCTAATAGTTTAAATCAGATTCAAATTATGGCGCAATGCAATTTGAAAATCACTTATAGATTACATTAAAACATCAAATGAAATCAGACAATCTGCAGCTGATATAAATGTTCTAAAATCTTGACCCTGAGACCTCCTGAGATGTCGTCAGGACGAACAGTGAGGTTCTCCGGTTCACATTTTGGACACTGCTCAAACACTTGAAGGAGAGAGGCCAAGTGTCACACTGTGACCCAACACATTTTATTTGGAAAATCAATACCATAGAGACTCACGAGTTTTGAGTGAAGTCTGAGTGTTAAGGGACTGTAACGTGTGGCAAAGAACCCAGATGCAGACGAGGGTGGTGAAACAAAATCTTTACTCGAGCAAAATACAAAAATAAATCACAAGGCACAGGTGGGAACCAAGCAAAAACAAAAAAAGATCAGGTAAGTAAAAATATAACTTCACAGAGTATAAGCAAAGGAAGGTTTCTCACCCATCATCTGTACTTCTTAGCAAGTTTTCCCGACGTTTCGTCCTCAAACTAGCGGACTTCTTCAGGGAATGAATTCTCGGACCGCGCGTTGGAGATTTATAACCTATCCTAATCCTGATACTAATTCATAAACAATCTAAGGTCTGCTTGATGTAGAAGGGAGCAAAACAAAAAGATTTGTTTTGGGCACGCGCGCTGTACTTACGAGGAAATGGGATTCATCAATCTGAGAGAACAGCTGCGAACAATTCAGCGGGTTACGAGTGCGTTGATGAATCCCACGTGGGGACTTCTTAGAAATCTACTTAAGGACAACTTGAGAAGAAAGTTGAGTAGTTTCTTACGAAGTTATTCGTGAATGAGGCCCAATGTTTCCTCCTTTTCTTTTCATGTTTACACTAAAGGGAAGAGGCAATGGAAAATACACACGCATGCACACCCGCACGCACACACACGCACACAGGCACGCACACACACACTGCCACACACAGGCACGCAGACCCACACTGGCACACACAGGCACGCACACACACGCAGACACACTGGCACGCTGACACACGCACACAGGCACGCACACGCACACATACACACACTAAAAGTTCTACAAACTGAACAAGTAATGCGCTGCAGTACGTGTGTCTATACTTTGTGTCAAATGTAAACGGTTGGCTCTGCATCGCTAACTTACCTCTTTGTTTTCATCACGACTTGGGCACATGTGTGAGTCCAACAACCCAAAGCATTAGCATACAGCACTGGCTCCACACGGAGTCAGGGTGCGTTCACAGACTGGGGAAACCGTGGGAATTTTTAGCTTTTGGCGGAAAAAGTGCGGAAGATTCTCAAGATTAACATTATTACATTGCCGTCTTCCAAGGGGGGCACTGGGGGTGGCAAGGATATTTTTAGAAGTGGCAGTGGCCACCCTGGCTACCCCTCTGGCTCCGCCACTGCTACTACTACATGTGCCGCTGCTGCTGTTCCTGCCGCTCCGCTCCGCAGGCTCCCAGGCTGCACCTGTCTCTACGGCTCGGCTCTTTCAGACACGTACGTAACCTGGCTCACGGAGACAAGCGGCGCATGCTGGCGTGACACGTCTGTTGTTCGTATGAATCGCATCGTGCTGCTGCTGCTGCTGCTTGCTGCTTCTGCTGCTTCATACTGCTGCCGCTACTGCTGCTACTGCTGCCGCTGCTGCTTCATACTGCTACCGCTGCCGTGCTGCTGCTTCTTTACTTTGACACCTCTCTTCACTGCGCATCTCTTTTACTGAAACACTAAACAGCTTCAACTATATTCTACTGCGGTGGCTTTGATACAGGATTATTGCTGTTATTATCTACGGATGCTGCAACCGCTGCTGCTGCTGCTGCTTCATACTGCTACTGCTGCTGCTTCCTACTGCTACTGCTGCTCCTGCTAATGCTGCTTCTGCTGCTTCATACTGCTACCGTTACTGCTGCTGCTACTGCTGCCGCTGCTGCTGCTGCTTCTTTTACTTTGACATCTCTCTTCACTTCGCATCTCTTTTACTGAAACACTAAACAGCTACAACAATATTCTACTGCTCTGGCTTTGATACAGGATTATTGCTGCTATTATCGACGGATGCTGCAGCTGCTGCTGCTTCATACGGCTACTGCTGCTACTACTGCTGCTGCTGCTTCATTTACTTTGCCATCTCTCTTCACTTGCATCTCTTTTACTGAAACACTGAACAGCTACAACAACATTCTACTGCTGTGGCTTAGATACAGAATTATTACTGTTATTTCTAAGGACGCTGCTGCTGCTACTGCGGCTGCCGCGGCTTGATACAGGACTATTGCTGTTATTATCTGAGGTTACTGCTGCTGCCGCTGCTGCTACTGCTACTGCAACCCACTCTCTCAGAAGCTTATCCTGCTTCTAATGGATGCAGCCCGGCTGAGTATGCCGCGCTGCGCCGGACTCGCACCTATGCTCCCAGGGTCGCTTCGGCGGTCGTGCTTCATCTCTCTACTGAATCTTCTGATTCTATCAGATGCAGCTGGCCGAGTAGCTGCGCTGAGCCGTCAATCGGACTCCTAATCAAAGGCATCCATACCTGTATTCTTCACTCTTCTGATCGCAGGCTCCCCATCATGCTGCCCATCTTACAGCGGCGCTGAACTCCGGCTCATCTCCCAAGTACATGTCTGCCCTCCTCGCAGCATCTTCCTGCTCTCCTTCTATGGCTTCTCTGCGTAAGCGTCTCACCATTGCTCACTCAACCTTCATGCGGTCCGAGACACGGCTTTCCCGACCATCCTACTATCCTGATTTCTACTTTCCAACCCAAGGTTTCAAGCGTAAGGGCGCCTGCAACATCAATGGCCCTCTCCGACATGTCTCTGCCCCTACAGGTCTCCGCTTCTACACGGACGCTGCCCCTTCCGTGGGTTTTTTGGGGGATTCTTCCAGGACCACTGGTTTGCCGAGCGTGGCCGCTACTTTCCACCGGAGCATCTCCTCTGCCTACACGTGATATTCCCAGTGGTCGTGGCCTGCGCGCTGTGGAATCACACGTGGCAGAGAAAGAGGATCTCTGTCACGTGTGATAATCTCGACGTAGTGGAAGCATTACACAAAGGTCGCTCTTTTTCACCCAACATATTGTTCCCTGACCACTTCAACCTTCATCTCAAACATTCAAAAATCAAAGGTGCCTGCAAGATAATAATAGCTCGCTCCGACACATCTCTCTGCCCCTACAAGTCCATGATGCGTTACACTCGCCTCCGCTGCAAGAAAGGAGATTCTAACGGACCTCTATTTCTCACTCCAGACCACCTTCCCATGACAGCAACCTGGTTCAGAGCTCAGCTGAGATCCCTACTGCTCCTCTGTAATCTGTCTCCCCAGCTCTATACGGCCCACTCATTCAGGATAGGCGCTGCAACGCGCGCGGCCTCGCTGGGGCTCCCCCACTCTTCGCTGCAACAGCTGGGGCGCTGGTCCTCTTCGGCCTTCTCCGCTTACATCAGGCCAGATGCGACCGCTATCCTGGCAGCACAACGTCAACTGGCTTCCTCGTAAGCTCCCAGCAAAGCAAGTAAGCAATAAGATTCTGGTGGCGGCACGCACTTTCCTCTTACACTCAAAAGATTCCCCTGCTGCAGCGTCTGGCTGAACATGCGCATGTTCTCAGCTCGCTCAAAGATTACCCTGCTCAGCGTCTGGCTGAACATGCGCGTGCGCGCATGTTCTCAGCTCGCTCAAAGATTCCGCTGCTTCAGCGCCTGGCTGAATATGTGCACGCTCTTATTCTCAGCTCGCTCGGCCCAAACAAACACGAGCCCCAGCCGACGCAGCCTGGCTGAGCGACCGCGCGAGAAGCCTCTCACTCATGCTCTCAGGCCCGCGCAGTACGTCCTGCTATCCCAATCCCAGGCCCGCTTTTTGGGGATATGTACGCGAGCAAGCGCCGTGCTCAACAGCATCCCTCCCGGGCCTAGGGCGCCAAACATGCTCAATCAATAAACATGCTTAAATCTAATAAGTCTAACGCATTTTCCTCATGGGTCTCTCCAAGGTGAAATGGAGCTTTCGCGAAAGTTCACCGTGGTAGACCCGGCTGCTGCTGCCCAGGCCACAGGCTGCTCTTCCTCGACTCATCAATACCAGCAACGCCCACATCCAGTCAACCAATAACCACCAGGACAGCAAGTTAAAAGCCGGAGACGCCCACTTCCCGGTCTTCTGAAGTTTGCAAGCCTCCGCCGCCCCACCTCCTCCTTCTCTCATGAAGCGTGTTGCCTACTGCCTCTGCCGTCACCAGTGCCTAGGCCCCGGGGGGATATGCACGCGAGCAAGCGCAGTGCTCAACAGCATCCCTCCCGGGCCTAGGGCGCCAAACATGCTCAATCAATAAACATGCTTAAATCTAATAAGTCTAACGCATTTTCCTCATGGGTCTCTCCAAGGTGAACTGGAGCTAAACTCACACTGCTTAAATTATGTTGGTTTTGAAATATTACCTATTGTTTGAGGCACGGTCGGCTGTAAAAGACTGTATTTCAATTCTGGATCGAGCCAAATGCGTCATTCAAAGATGCTGGTAAAACCGGTCGGACAATTCTCAGGAAAAATATCTCTCTTGTTTATATAAAAAACACAAAGACAAACACATGATCTAACATCAATCATACAAATCTGTGCAGGTTAGAACTCAAACTGCTATAACATTGTTTTTTTAGTCTTTACCCATAAATCTGTTAAATAGTAATAGTTTATAATAGTAGTAATAAAGTTTTAATTTCAGTTAAGGAAAGACTCAAGACCAAGATTGCTTTATTCATATTTTTGTTATGACTATTACTTACTGTTACTACTACAGTATTATTCATGTAGGCAGAATATATTGTAGCTGCATGATTAGACGACAGTGTCAAACTGTAGAATGAGTCTGGTGGTGGTCGGAGGGGCCTATGGCAGATACTGGTTGCCTCGCTTCTGTCAGTGTGCCCCAGGGCAGCTTTGAGTGTCCAAAAAAGCACTGTATAATAAAACCAATGCATTATTATTATTATTATTATTATTACTGCTACTGGCCACTATCTACAGATCATGAAATCAACACAAACCAAATCTGTTTGGATGTTGAATTCATGAACTCACCTGCTCGTCGATCACCAGCAAAGACCCAGGCTGCAAAGGGAAAC